TCGGTGACCTCGACGATAGATTATGATGGGGGGACAGAGCTGATCAGATCCAGAACTGGGCACTGCGGTGGCTTCAGCCTGTTTGCAGGTGATGGCCAGTCGCTGTCGATTCTTGGGCAGGGTGGTGTGAGCAGAACCAGGTGCCAGGTGGGTTCCTCTAGTGCAGGGCAGTGAAAGGCAGGAGGGCTGGGTGCGGGGAGGACAGCTCCAAGGTTACTGAATTTGCTTCCAAAATCTTGACACGTGTCTTTGCCACTGAACCAGCAATTCTATTTATGGGAACATATCCTAAGGAAACAACTGAATTGGTGCCTGAAAGCTGTGGAAACAAAGATATTCTTAATCCAATTGTTCACTATAAAAATTGGAAACAAAACAATGCAGGATTGAGCAGGGCCATCATTAGACATTTATACAATGGAAATACTTTGTAACTAATAAAAATGATGCCGGACTGAGTGTTTAACCTTCTGGAAAGTTGCTCACACTGTGTCGTTCAGTGAAAAGAATTAGGCTAAAAATTCCAAGATCGGTACACCAGTAAAAAAAAAAAAAAGAAGAAGAAGAATTAGGTCATTTATTCTTCAACAAAGCATTTCTGAATGTCATTTATACTTCAGTAAAAATTCTGCTTAAAATAGAATGCATTTTAAAGATATATTTATACATTTACATATGTGAATACAAACTTTGAAGGGTATATACAATAGTGAAAATGACTATTTATACTTCAGTAAAAATTCTGCTTAAAATAGAATGCATTTTAAAGATATATTTATACATTTTCATATGTGAATACAAACTTTGAAGGGTATATACAATAGTGAAAATGACTACCTCTGGCTGGTAGAAATACAGGTAATTCTGCCCCTCCCTTCTGTTTTCTGCATGTCAGGTGTAGTTCAATGTGTAGTTCCCAGGGAGCTATCGTCAAGAAAGGCTCGNACATATGTGAATACAAACTTTGAAGGGTATATACAATAGTGAAAATGACTATCTCTGGCTGGTAGAAATACAGGTAATTCTGCCCCTCCCTTCTGTTTTCTGCATGTCAGGTGTAGTTCAATGTGTAGTTCCCAGGGAGCTATCGTCAAGAAAGGCTCGATTTCTGGAGTTGTCCGACTTGGTCTCATATCCCAGCTCTGCCACTTACTGGCTGTGTATCACTGGGCAAATATCCTAACCTCTCTGGGCTTCCATTTTCTCCTTTACGAAATGTGGGTAAGTCTTGGACTACAGGGTCCAAGTGCCAGAGAGGATTCAGTGAGCTAATTAGTACATAGGAAGCATCTCAGCACATAGCCTGGTGCTTAGTAAATGTCAGTGTCATTAATGACATATTAATTTTTGTTTTAAACAATGAATGTGTATAATTACCTAACAAAGAAGTAACAGACATTGAGTAAAATTATTGCTCTTAGTCAAACTAGAATTTGAGGACCTCACATGGAAGCCAGACTGTCTTTGACTGCCGGTGCGGTGTGAGGCCACCCGTGGAGCACGGCCAATCCCACGTTCTCATCGGCGGTGCCAGCTCCCAGCTGCCGAGCCTCCGTCCAGTGCCAAGCTCTGTGCCAGGTGTTCACCTGCCTGGCTTCACTGAGTCCTCACAACGACGATTGTCAGTCAGGAGAGATGGTGTTGTTAAATGCCTTGTTTTACAGATGAGGAAACTGAGGCTTGGTAAGGTGAAGGGAGCTCTGAGAGGCCCCAGAGCTGGTAAAGGATGGAGCCAGGATTCCAATCAGATCTGACTGAGGTCAAGGGCGGAGGACTTAGCTGCTCTGTCTGAGGCTGAATTAGTTACTGCAGAGTTCAGAGAGAAGGATGTGGTGGGGAAGGCTTGGTAAAGGCCAGAGCAGGTGAGGGAGAGGGTACCGGTCATGACGGATGAACACAGGCCAGAGGGGAAGGGGCTCCAGAGGGAACCTGGTGTCTTCTCTTCCTCAACAATTGTGAGTTTCAGATCATTCCACAGGCTTCCCTTTCTAAGAAGGACTGAGGTCTGCTGACTAGCTAATTGCCAAGTATGGAAGTTTTTAGGGTGACTGACTATAATTTAGAATTCCTGAACTAAAAATAGTCCATTATTAGAGCTCACTAATGACTTAGATTAAATATGTTCCTAAGAAATCTGATGTGCACACAATCTTGCAAAATCTCCATTGTGAACATATCCATGTGTCTCCTTGGAATTCTAGCCCTATTTCTGTGCACTGGTGGCATTGTCTTATGTTGGCTGTGACTTTCCATTACTGCTATTAAAAAAAAAAACCCAAAAAACTTTTTATTAGGGAACATTTTAAATGTATGTAAAGTGAGCAGAAGCGTCTGATGAATCCCTGCCTACCTATCACCCAGCATCACCAAAAAAAAAAAAAATCCTAGCATTCTGCTTCATCTACACCTCCTCCTACCCCACCCCCAATCAATGATTGTGATTTTCATAGTTCTTTTTTCATGAGATAAACCTACATACAACGAAGCGCACGAATCGTAGCTGTACACGTTTGACGAGCGATGCACCGTGGAACCTACACTCCTGTCTCAATGTGGAACGTTCGTCTCCCCCACGGTTCCCCTGCCTGTCTTCCCGTTCAAGCTGCCCTATCCCCCGGCAACCTCTGTTCTGGTTTTTGTTTTCATCTTAGATTAATTTTGACTGTTCCAGAACTTTCTGTAAGTGGAACCGTATAGTACGTGCTCTTTTGCTTCTGGCTTCTCATTATGTCTGGGAGGTTCACCCGTGTTGTTGCCATGTGTTGGTAGTTGGATTACACGAATATACCACAGTTTGTGTATCCATTGCCCGGTTGATGGACACTTGCCTTGTTTCCAGTTTGGGCCAATTGTGCGTACAGCTGCTATGAACATCTGAGCACAGGCCTTTGTGTGGACGTGTTTTCATCTCTTTGGGCACATACCTAGGCGTGGAGTGGCT